AAGACATTGATGGGCCAGTCCCACCAGCTGAGGGGGCAAGTTCTCACATGTGGTTCCCTGGTCCCAGAGTTCAACTTGTGAGCAAGTCTGAAATCAATTTGGAAAGCTCAGAAAAATCCCAAACACTTTCAGATATATTCTTTATGGAATACTGACACCAGAATTCCAGTGACTGCAGAATTTCTATGACCACCCTATTATAGGAATCCACATTCAAACCCTTTTGTATCTTTCTTATGCCCTCCATATTATTGTATTGGGTGCCAGTTTGCTTCCGGGTCCAATTCAAGATGTTGCTTGTCACTACATGGCATAATACTGGGTTACCTGAGGGACAGTCTCACCCCCATTGTATCGACCTGTCCCACCCAGTCAGGCAGGGAGGGTATGCTGCGGACCCCGTCAGTGAAAGAATGTCAATTGGCGGGGTCCAGAAAAGGAACCTTCTCTGCCATTGCCCCTTCCCTATGGAACACTCTCCCCCCAGAAGTGAGGCAGGCCCCAACTCTCCTGTCCTTCTGGAAAGCAGTCAAGGCCTGCCTCTGCCAACTGGCATGGGGCAAAAAAAGGGGCAACCAACCCTGGGGGTGGCTAGCACCTTGAAGATGCTCCCACATCTTGGAAGATATTATTTGTGTATATGTTTGGTTTTCATTCTGTTTTTATTGTATTTTTTATTGTTTTTATTATATTTTAATTAACATTTATTCCTATTTTATTGTGAACTGCACAGTCACTTTTTTGTGAAATGGGTGGTATCTAAATTTGAAATATAAATAAATAAACAAATAAATAAATAAATAAATGTCTTAGGCCTGTGTATCTCTGGATCACGTGCACCAGTCACTGATGGGCCTCCAGATTTCAGAATATCAGTATCATCCAATGGTAGCAGTTGAATATGAACCTTACTCAAGAGTTCATATTGTTCCCCTTTGTCATCCAAATTATATAATGACTTACAAAGAAGAGAAAACCTATTATTAATAGCTTCAGAATACAATAGAGTCTGACCTTCCTCAATAACAATTTCAAAAAATTGGCTCCATTGATTTTCTTCCTCCAAACAATGTGCCAGGAACATCCCAGCTTTTGCACCAGACTTCCCATAATTTACCTATAATCCACGCAATGAGAGTTCTACCTTATCAGCATAAAAATCCCCCAACTGTATCTTTCTTAGTACCAATGCATTACAGGCCTGACCGGTAGGATCCTTTGTGTAAGACAATGAGGTCTTTAACTCAAATTTCCAGCTGTTTGTTTGTTTGTTTGTTTATTTATTTATTTATTTTTCAAATTTGTATGCCGCCCATCTCCCCCAATTGGTGACTGTTGATGGAGAAGATTTTTTTCTGCTTCCATTTAGAACCAGAAGCAATAACAGAACCTCACATACAGGCCTTACAAGGGTCTATACAGTCAGTAAAACAGATAAATCATGATTGATTTCATAAAAATATGAGGTTAATTGTCTAATATAAATTAAAAGCCCTCCTTTCATGACAAGGAAGTATTAAAATACCACCTTCGAAAGATTGGCTTAAGTTGTTTAATTGTAGGGTTAATATGAAAGGAGCATGATCAGATATAAAAATTGAATGAATAGAAAAATATAAAACATATTTCAGTAGCATAGATAAATTAAAAAAAAAATTCTAGCATAGGCCATATTCTATGAATGTAAGAAATAAAAGAATAGTTCCTAACCTGAGAATCAGGTTTACACCATACACCGATCAGGTTAAACTGTGCTGCTTAAGCCTGGAACACCTTCTAATTTGGATTATAAATTCTGCAGGCTATACTGTAGGCTGGCATCATTAATTGATATGCATATTATCATATCTATTTATTGGCTGGGTAGTTACAAAAGGTTTTATAACATGATCCACTCCTGCCAGTTGTAAGGTTTGCCCCGTTCGACAGAGAAACTCTCGTGACACGTGTGTTTCACAAAAGAGGTTTACTCATGCGTAACGTAGCAGTCACAAGCAAAGCCGGGTCTGGCTTGGTACAATTGCATCACTCATTATATTCCCCCCTTCCTGCGCTTTGTTTCCACCCCGCGATCGCGTTACCGCTGCGGATTATTGGCCCCCCAATAATCCCTCTTGATTGTCCATGATGG